CAATTTACCCAGTAAACACATAGAAATACACCAACTATGGGTGTAAGTCTATATATGTGTATATATACGCAATTATAAATATAAATTCATCTGTTATTATTTCTTTTTCGCTCTCGCTGCAAAAAACAGTTCATCATCATTATCACAGTACAAACCCAAGCACACACAGAGAGAGTCTCCAAGAACACATACACACACAAAATGGAGTAGTAGCAATAATAATTATTATAGGATAAACATAGAGAGCAAAAAAAAAAACACACAAAACACATTAACATTAAGAAACAAAAAAGAAGAGAATCCCAACAGGTGGAAGATTAGTTAGACTGTGGGGATGCATGCAAAAAAAGAAAACAAAACAAAGGATGACCTGAGTCACACCACCACCACACAATCAGCATACAACAAGAATACAGGCCAGTGTAACCACAATCAGTAGTGGTACACGTACCCACACAGAACTGCTGATACTGCTGCTGTCTGTATCACCCTTCTTGTTGTTTGTGAGTTCAGGAGGAAGTGTTGTTGTTGTGGTTGTTGTTGTGGTGGTGGTTTCTGCATTTCCTCCATCATTTTGGTTACTTGTTGCCTCAGTCCCTGCAGACGTACTGCCATTCTCAGTATTCGCAGCTTCAGATCCACTGGTGCTCTCTGTGTCTGAATTGGTTGGAGAAGGAGAAGAAGGTTGTGGTGCTGCATCGTCTAGTTGACCGTTACGTGCAGGTGCACTACTGCTGCCATCACCAGGTGTAGAGGATGTATTGGGAGAAGCAGGTGCGGCGCCAGAAGGTTCATTAGAATGTTCACCACTAGTAGCTGCAGGACCTTGTTTATTGGGAGTATCTTTGGATTCCTGTGTAGTTTGATGAACAGTTGCTTCCTGTGAGGGTGAAGTGTTGGAAGATGTCTCAGGTGAACTCTGAGATGCACTAGCAGATACCTCTTTCCCTTCATTAGCACCTGATCCTTTTGAGTCTTTGTTCTCTCCATTTGTAAGTTGATGTGTATCCGGATGTGATTCCCTTCCGGTGTCTGGTCGTGCGTCTCCCGGTTTGTTTTCTTCCATCTGTTGTCCTTCTTCTTGTCTCACCACTGCAGGGTCTCGTGAGTTTCTTGGGTCTTACGTGTTTTGTTGACAGCACAGTCAGGAGTTCCATTATCAAGAAGAATAGCCTCCGATGGAGGAAAACAAACGACCAACATACCGCTTTGATTCATAGTATACTTGATTGGTTCAGCCCACACCAATCCGCAAGCACAACAGAGTGCAAGAGTTAGTAAATAAAGCAGGTAACACCTCACCATTACAACCTTTGTCATTGTTGTTGTTTACTTCAATAGACTAATACAAGGAAGAAGAAGGCAGAGAAAGAATTATGATAAAAACAAACAAACATACACCAATACAACAAATACTCACAGTGGGAGAGAGAGAGAAGCAGTAACAGCACAGTAAAGCAAGAAAAAAGGAATAGACCGCTTGTATAATAATAATATGTACCCTTAATAGAAAAGAGAACACCCCACAATACCCAAATAAGAAAGAAAGCCAAACACACACACAATACCCCATGGCTCTAGTTTATATATTAAATTACTGCACACACACTCATATCTGTGTGTACTAGCAAGAAATGTATACCGTCAGTGAGCAGAACAGCCCAGTTTTCTGCACACACACAACGGGAAAAGCAAGTAATGGAATTATTAGAAAAATGAACACTCACACACACAAAAGTAAAAGAAAAGAAAAGAAATTCCAATTAAAAGAGAAAGCTGGTAAACAGATTATTAATTTCATTCACCCATAGGGGATATAAGCAAATATGATTATGTTAGTATTACCATTATTATTATTATTTGTCCTCAGATGAGTTCCACCGTTCAGTACACAGTAACGGAGACCAACACAGCCACAATCAGCAGCGGAGCTGCAGTACGCATCCACACAGGACTGACACTGCTGTCAACATTACCCTTGTTCTGTAATGCGGAGGCGATGTTGCTGCTTATCTTTGTGTCGGTCACAGGAGAAAGTGTTGTTGTTGTTGTTGTTGTGGTGGTGGTGGTGGCCGTTGAGTCAGCATTGGCATTCTCCTGTAAACCGTCTGTGGCAGTCGCACCTTCAGCTGCAGAAGATTGCTGGTTAGGATTACCATCACCGGCTGCAGTGTTATCAGATGTGTTCTTCGGCGTTCCTTGGTGTTCTTGTGGTAGCGTATTAGACTCTTGATTTTGGTTTTGTGTTGTAGTCGCATCAGCATCTGTAGGGGATGGCACCTGGGTAGAATTATGGTCGTGGTTTGTACTATTATTCCCGTTGTTACTTGAATCGGGTTGGTTGTCTTCTGATGCTTTATTGGGTTCCTGAGTTTGGTTTTGTGTTGTAGTCGTACCTGTTACTGTTGTGTTTCCTTCGACTAAATTATTTGTATGAAGTTCTGATGCAGAATTCTCAGAAGAGGACACTGTAGATTGCACTGGTACAGTTTTTTCTTGTTTCTTCTCCAAAGCTTTTTCATCAGTATCTTTCTGTGTTAATGACTTTTCTTCCGCATTAGCCTTATCAATGTCATCTTTTGTCCTTGCAACATAAGGAAACTCATCAACAGTGGGATAAACATCACCAACTATCTTTTGTACACGAGTAAGATTAGAAGGATATTGTGACTTTGGTGGCTTACTATCTTTCTCTGCTTCTTCCTCACTCACAACTTTCGGACCATGCTGTCCATCACTACCTCCTTTGGAATGATTTGCTGTGGGTTGGAGAGGTGTTTCCACTGTCCTTATAGCAGAATCATTCAAAGTGCGGGAAGAGAGTGCTTCGTTATCAACACGATCGTGAACTTCCGTTACTGTTTCACCTTCTTTCGAAGGAACAGCATCACCAGGAGTTGAGACAAGCAGCTTTTCCGACTTAAGTCCTCCTGATGATTCTTTATCTGAAGGCCACGATACAGCGTAAGGAAACCCATCAATAAAAGCCATCACCGCCTTTGGTTGTCCAGCATTAACAGTAGTAGTCCTTATTGTTGTTGTTGCTCTTGCGGTACGCTGGCGGCAGAGGTCTGCGTACTTCCCACATGCAGACACGCGGCTGCCCGCACCGCATGTAAGCCACTCGCTCGCAGCAGCGGGGCGTACACGCAGCGCACCGCCGGCCCCGCACGACACCTCCACAGCCCCACGGGATACACCACGGCCACTGGGACTGTCATTATCAACAGCAGCAGCAGCCGCCATGGTAT